TGTCATCGTTAATTAGCTATTTGTTATTTATTGTTCTAAAAAAGGATAGTTGAGAAAAAGGGGTGCGCCAAAGTTCACCTAAATTTTCAACTCCGAAAATTGGAAGTCCGAAAATGTTCTTCCTAAAATTTTTCATCCTAACAATCACAATTCCTAACTACTCTGTCTCTAATGTTCATAATTCCGAATTATTCAACTTCATAATGTCATTAGCAATAAACATCTATTATACTTTTATTTGTTCTCCTAGATTTTCTCAACATAACCATATTTTACACTATTATTCAAAGTCATATCTTTGTGCTATCATCCTATGGTACCCCCCCAAGATTTTTGGGGTTACCTACCGATTCGAAGATTGAAGAACAACAGCACCCCCCACCCCCCTGTATCATGACATAGACTGCAGATTTGCCTGCAGATGTGCCAGTGAGTACTAATCTGCGCGACTTGTGTCACCCCCTGATGCTTGGCACCCGGGGCGGACCGCCCCCACCGCCCCCCCCTTACGCCGNAACGTTACAATACGGGCTTTATGTTTGTTATACGTATAATAGAGATTTGTTGAATAGAATAAGCTGTTTTAGTATAGTTAGCGTAGTTGTACTCGGCTCCATAGCACCACTATGCTCTTAATGCTCGCGTGGTATCGGTAGTGAGGGTGTGCATGCCGTGTTCACTTAAGCATTCGCGACGCTGCTTGGCATCCAGGCTCGAGCCGGACCTCTAACGACGCCAGCTTGCACATGCGGCCTTTCACAGAATTCAAGATCGTATCTCCGAGCAGCCAGACGCGTAAGTGGTGTATGGGGCCCGACAGTGGATGAGTTTAATGGACATGGATGTTTTCTCTATTTGTTGGAAGGTGGGACGCAGGGCCCGGGCCGACGACCCCACCTGCCTTACCTCCACTTACGCCTCTGGATGTATCGTACGTGTTCACGTCTCTATCTAACACCACCGTGCTAATAAACAGGGCTAGTCGTCCACTTGTGATTTTTTATTAGCTCGTTACTGCTTATGAATATAAACATGAGGCCGTTGCGTTGCGTGACCGCACTGCGCCCGTGAACCGGTTCATCAAAATATACATGAGTTTCTTCGATACAACTTCATCAACGATCCGATTCGCTGCTCTGTTTATTGGCAATGAGTAATCCATGTACGGTGTTTTATGTTAAGGTCTGTTTTCGTAAATAAAACTGCTGCCTCTGTTTTGGATTCCTACTCATTTAGTGTTGATTGTATTTCGTGGAAATAGAAGTCGACTTGTTTTCGCAGTGTACGAGCGAGATTGGGCATCTTATGAGAGTTAGTTTACGGCGCACTGCTTCACTAAACATGCCACATGTCGATGTCTGCATTCGCGAAACACAATTAATAAAGCGATGTGATTAATTGCGTCGTTAATTACCTTCTATATCTTTAGCTGCTCTGAAATTTTCGTTTCGTATTAATTCGCATGTATTAATTTGTTTGAGATACCTTTCCTTAGATCATTAGATGTTGTGTGGTTATTCTTAACATATTGCTGAGTGCTAATTAATATTTTCTATGTAAAATACAATAGTGCTTCCTCTCTTACTGTACTTTCCTTGTCTGTTTTTCCTCAATCACGCCATTACTAAGCTGTTAGTTCTTTAGCTATAGTTCAGATAAAATGCCATTAGTTTCTTTAGCTGCACTTGAGAGTTACTGTTTAGTTGGTTTTTCAGCGCAGCTCGGTGTCCCAGATGAAGTGCAATTTGCATGCGTTCACCGTGCTGTTATTAGATAATGGAGTGTCCCTGGCAACTGCTGCTTTCAGTGCACCTGGGCGCTATTGTACTAAACCTTGTGATGCACCGCTGACGCTGACTTTAATGTATGTTGAACCCGATACCGTCATCAAGGCAAATACTGAATGATATAAAATAATATTAATTACACGCTCAATGATTTGTTGAACGATTGATTGCAGTCGTAAAGATTTATTGTCATCGTTAATTAGCTATTTGTTATTATTGTTCTAAAAAGGGATAGTTGAGAAAAAGAGAGAGGAGTAGATTTACTCGTATTGATTAAGCATCCCAATTGTAATCTTCTTATATGAAGATCTGAAATAACCATCCACTTGGCTGTGGTTTTACCACTACCATACTTAACTCAAGGCTTTATAAACGTGTGGCAATGGATGAAGGACTCCTTGTTGTACTTTGCGCCAAGAGTCTTGTCGCTTCAGTCGCTTGCTGCTGGTAACTAATCCAAAGTTGCATTGAGGTAAGTGTGAGCCCAGTTTTACTGTGAGCACCGAGAATTGCGATGGTGATGCCCGCGTGAGTCAGACGAATGCAGGTGCAGGGGGCAACGGTCCACTAACGATTGTGGCTAATTTCGTCCACCACGAGTGTCCGCCAGTCGCCGCCATTGTTCGTGCAGCAAAGATGCAGTTCCGTTACCTAGAGGAACTGGTTTGTTATGNGTGTTATCTGACCTGTGGTCGGCTGCAATCTTCCAGATTACTCATTCCATAATCGCTACACAACAGGAAACAGATTAGTGTGCTTTAATAGCTGCAAGATAACAACGTGTAATGGGATGGGATGCCAGATTCGGAAATTTATTCACATCTCACTTCAAAATTATTATGAAAAGCACTGACTGAAGCCGATCAGCGGCATTTCAGTAATGATAAATTTGCGATCTGAAAGTAAATTGACCGTTTAGTGAGAGATTTAGTTGCCTGGATGAAGATACCGAAGTCAAAACATATTAAAATATTATTAACATTTGAGTCCGACGTGACTGCGCATGTTAGCGATTCAATTTTCTTGATATCCGAATGCAAACAGATTTGACTTTGCATCTGAGAATATCTCCACAAGTCTTTGACACTCCTGGTGCATATTCATCATGTGGATTGAAATAAATCTAAATGAAGATTTGTGGCCGAACAATTGCACGAGATTGTGTTATTTAAAACGAGCATTGCTATTAAAGATAATGACTCAACCCTTTCACGTTATCGAAGGTCAAGAGTGCCTCGGCCGGGGTAGAGGGCCGATGAACTGGACCTCTCTCGTTTGTTTTGTTACAAGATTGCATGTATCATCCTCGTAACTTTAAGAAGCTGATTGAACACTGAGTGTGTTTTTGTTTTTGGATTTACTAGTGGACACCTGAATTTAAAAGTTTCAAATATTTTCAGAACACCTCTTATGAAGTTTAAGTCTTCTTATTGTATAGTTGATAAAATAATTGTTTTTATGCTTTATCCTTGTATGTGGGATATCCTTGTATTTTAAGGAAAAATACTGTCTTTTGTAGTCTTTTAGTCATTGACCCCTCACTACAGTTTTTGCAGCAAAACGATTAGCTTCGGTGCTTTATTTCGAATTTTCCTATTCTATACCCATAACATAGCGTTATCCAAGGTAATCCACCCACACTCACCGTTTCATTCTCATTTATCTAGCGTGTTGTGTAAACTCGCGGTTCGTTAACCTGTGTGTGGTCGTGCGTACGCGCATTGCACGTGTGTGCCGTGCACATTCGCCTCACTTTGTAACAAAATATGACCACTATGTCGATAGCGATAGGATTCAGCCAAGTTCTGATAAACTTCAACTACTACGCAATATCATAGCGGGACGCGGAGATCGAGATTCGTATAGCAACATTATACGCAAAATAAATGTTATTAGGTATTTGCTGGTTATAATTTTGTATTCGTTTTAACAAGATTGATAAAATTGTGTGTGTGCGCCAAATATTTCTAGCGCAGTAACTCTTGTCCTTCAGATATACTAATTGTTACGTTCCACTGACGCCTGATCTTGTTATCGAATAATCGACCTACATTGTTACGACTTTTAGTTCAAATTCAGTGCACATTAATTTCCAGATAGTCCCAGCTTTTGTACATAATTCTTATGAAGTGTTCGGGTGTGATTGTTTTCGAGTAGGCAAGAGGTCGACAGCACGACCTTGCTTGTTAGTGGATTGCGTGCCCCCGCTTCCATTTGGCTCAGTTTCAGAATAGCATTTTGATCCTTCGAGAATATTATGGTAACTTTCTCGAAGGATGAACGGTAATGCCTTTCGTGACTGACTTTGTTTAGAAAACAGTCGTTATTTTATGTAAACACGTGTCTGTGATCCTCTCTTTAGATATGCGTAGATGATGTTAAAATAACTTCCAAGCCGTTTTGAACCAATCTGATTTGCAAATTAATTTAAGTTTGATTTACTCTCAGGCGACCTTGCTCATTTTTCTAGGTTAGTGCTTTTAGGACATCTGTAAGATTCAGCGCAGAAGTTTCGGCGTATCCATTACGGCTGGCATTGGCCGGGCCGCCGCAATGTCGGCGCAATGTCGCGGCGTCCGCTACCTCTCTGGCGGGGGACGTTTGAAGCTGTGCCTGTGTTTCTGCAAAAGTTTGCCATTCAAACCGAAAAGGTTGACCTGAAAACTGAAAACTTCTAATCATTAGGAGACCGTTTAAAGACCCATTAATTCCCGTCATACTTGCTTCACTGAGCCTGTTATCGGTTGTCCCGATCTACATATTAAGCGACTTGATGCAGTCATGGGTCGGTTCCTTAATCACGGACGGGCATCTTAGTCAGCTCACTGGGCACGACCGGCGATCCATTAGCGTATATTACGCCCTATATTTATAGCTTTTCTTTCTTAGTGATTTGCATGATCTCAATTAGTGCTGCTCGCCTACACGTAACCTATTTCTTGCAACTAACATCACCTATTTAATCCCTTATCTTACGGAATGACTGTTTACCACATAAAGCACGTAAAGCATAGTGTATAGTGAAATTTCCGTAGACAGTAAACGCTTTATATTGTTCTGAAAATGCGAGCCTATTAATCACTTGCCTGGGATTTGTTTGTATGTTAAACAACTTTGAGTATAGAATTAGTCATTAGTTTTTTAGCTAAATCTTCATTCTCCATTACCTTCATTGCTTATTCATCTACAATGTGGTTGTATGTGACTTTCCAGGTCATGGCAAGACTCATAAGGATGCAGCGAGCGTGCGGGCCACGCACCCTATCCCGGCATCGTGTGGGCTCTATTACTTCGAGGTCCGCATCGTGTCCAAAGGCCGCGACGGCTACATGGGCATCGGGCTCTCCGCTCACGGCGTCAATATGAACCGCTTACCTGGTAAGATTATCTTAATCACATCACTCGATTGGAGCTGGACATAGGCCTCTGACCACACGTCACAGCTCTGTAGACTTCCTAAAAAAAGTCGATAAAACGTTGTGATTTTCCGTCCAAGATTGTCTCAGCCCCAGTAAACCATTGCCAAAATTCCTGTTTTGAGGAGAAAAGACCCATTTTGAGTATTTACATCTGGTGCAATCGGGTAATGTATGATTCACAAAAAGTTACAGAGCTTCAAAAGATTAGATAGAGCTTTTTATTTATACGAAGGCTATCTACATATTTGCTTGTCCACTTCCTGTATGCCATGAATACTAATTTATTATAAGTATTAATTGACCTTCGGGACAATCCTTCTTGTAAGTAACATGTCCCAAATACTGTCACAAACATGGCCTGTTTGTGTCAATTCGTCTGTTCCTGTATTTACGCCTCATACATCGTCAACATGGCATCTGGCAATAAATAAGGCAAGTTCAATAGCAAAGGGCGCATGTTAATGGGCCGCATTGTGTGCGACCGCGAGCCTTTGTTCGCATGTACAGAATAGGCAGGGAATCACATTGTGACATTGTCTTTCTTTGTTGCTAAGTTGTAATAGGGCTCATTTAGAACTGAGTCTTAACTTGGATATTAATTTTATTATAACAATAGGTATCTGTTGACCAAAGCATTGACCTAAATCAAATATCCATACCAAACCTATTCACTCGTAATCCTTGTCATGTCTCGTAATGGATTTCAAAGGGCTATTTCATTTATTTCATTATGTCACTTCAGAGTCTGTACATACTTATGATAGAACTATTTGTGGACGCAAGGATTTCTCCGACATTTGATTAATAATGATGATGAACGATATGACTCTATCCCCAGACATAAAAGCTTTTCAGAATTCGCCGTAAATGGCGAAGCGTTAAGTTCAACGTATTGCGCTGTCTGATGTATTGAAAGAGGTCTATGTCCAGCAGCGGCCATCTTTAGCCCGTGCTGACGGTGCGTCACTGATCGAAGGCTCCCCGTTTCCAGGCTGGGACAAGCATTCGTACGGGTACCACGGCGACGACGGCCACTCCTTCTGCTCGTCCGGCACGGGCCAGCCGTACGGGCCCACCTTCACCACCGGTGACGTCATCGGCTGCGGAGTCAACCTCGTCGACAACACCTGCTTTTACACGAAGAACGGGCACCATCTAGGCATCGCGTTTCGTGGCTTGCCGGTATGTATTTTTTTATTTGTTCTTGCTGATACAGGCCAAGATCAAGGACCATGTTTGTCTTGTCATTAGCAGCCAAGTGTGCTTTAATATTCTAAAATCAAACAATCGGTGTCAAAAAGCGATTGGAAGAAAGCGCTAAACATATTGGAAATGGTTTGACCGTCGGTACAAACATCGTTATCGACCTTGATAGTGTTGTAAGATTTTTGGATGTTAATAAATACCAATAAAAATATTATTATAAGACTGTACAGAAATAGAGGTAAAAATTGTAGCGGCCTCCGAATATTAGTGGTGGTCACCGACCACCTTCGTTTGCGCTGTGTACAGCGCTGTAACATGTAACAGCCACCGGTGGCTGTGCTGTGATCAGTGGCTCGTTTGTGCAGAGCTTTGTAAAAAGCATATTAATCGACTAGTGGTGTCAATTACCCTATTTATTAATATTGAAAGTTGTACGGGACAGTGATGTTAACTCATCTTCCCTGGCAGCCGAACCTGTACCCGACGGTGGGGCTGCAGACGCCCGGCGAGGTGGTGGACGCGAACTTCGGGCAGCAGCCCTTCGTGTTCGACATCGAGGACATGCTGCGCGAACTGCGCGCGCGCACCCGCCTCGCCATCGACGACTTCCCGCTGCCCGACGAGGCGCGCTGGCAGCAGGTGCTGCACAGGTACGACGAGCTGGAGAAAGCACCTATAGTCTGGTCTGTGAGCACGTAGAATTTTGTCCAATGACCCCAAGCTACCCATCCTTATCGCTCGCGCGTAATTATGTTGCTGTCGCGCTCGCACACTCACTGCAAGCGCCCGTCGCGCAGTCGCGACAGCAATATAATTACGCGGAGCGATAAGGATGGGTAGCTTGGGGTCATTGGACAAAATTCTACGTGCTCACAGACCGGGCTTTAGATGGCTGTCTAAATAAACTCCGACAAACCTTACTGTTTGCATTATAAAAGAGTCATCGAAACGCTTAGTGCGAGCTGGTGGAATGTTAACAATATAGGGATGGTACGCTAACCTGCGTCTGGTTCCCCGACGATATGGGATGATGATGATGTTACTGCGTCAAATGACGTAACATAAAAGTGTTGAAGTAACATTTGTCGGGAGTTTATTTAGGTAGTTCACATGGATGCGCATAGCACGGCATGATGGCAGGGCACACTGATTAAGTAGCAAGGTTCTGGAGTGGAGGCCACGTACCGAAAAACGCAGTGTGGGACGTCTACCCACAAGGTGGATCGACGAACTCATAAAGGCCGTAGCAGGAAGGCGCTATAAGCAAATCATTGGGTGAGACCTATGAACGGTTCAGCAGTTACGACCTGTAGCTGAAGTGATGATGATAATGCCTGGATACGGGCAGCGCAAGATTGACCGTTGTTCAAATCCAGTTGTCCAGCAGTGGACGTGCAGACGGCATTTGCACGAACACGACCCTTCTCTTATTCGTCGCTGGCAGTTGGAAGATTTGATCTATACCTTCACACTGTCCAGACTGATTGATTGATGTTCACACATTTATTCCTGAGTCGCCTCTTACAGCATCCACGGGAAGAGTGAAGGTGGTCAACTGTTATTGAATAAAGTAATGAAGGGTATGTGTGTGGTTTGCAGGATGGTGTCGTCGTACCTGGTGCACCACGGCTACTGCGGCACGGCGCAGGCGTTCGCGCGCGCCACCGCACAGCCGATCGTCGAGGACATCGCCTCCATCAAGAACAGGCAGCGTGAGTGCGCTCCACACCACTAACCACTTAGCATTCTTTTTTTATACGTAGAATAATGCATAAAACTGCATACCCGCCGCTGTGGGCAGGCGACGGATTATGTGGGGCTCTCCATGCCAGAAGGGAAAGGCCTACCCACTAAAACAACCACGAATGTCCTGTAGGCCTAAGATGCACGCCGTGATAACTTTTATCGACGCCAAAATGTATGGGCAAAATCGATAAAATGGCGTGATAACCGCTTATCGCGGCGCGCATCCTAGGCCTACAGGACATAGGGGAAATGCCGGTATAGCGAGCCTTATCCCGATTTGTCCAGTAGTGCGGACCCACCTTTTACACCAAGGACATCGAGTGCGCTTTCGCACATAAAACTACTCGGTATTCTACTGCAACCTAAGACCATAGTCGGCTGGCTCCATAGTCCATAATGTCATAGGAAATTTTAATGGTAGAAGACTGCATCTAGCTTCGCTTTTCTCCACTCCAATCTGATCCAGACTTCAATGACTCCGCCACTCTTTTTATTAACCCAGGAAAATGTCAATACCTACCGCTGGGGAGGGTGGCAGTTAAAGTGGGGTTCGAGCTCCCGAAAAACCTGGGATCTTCTCTCTGTCGCATAGTGGTCGGCTACTAAAGACGACGGTGGTGGTACCCACCATGCCCCTTTCAATCCCATTTGACGGCGGTGGTGACCTGTGCAATGCAGGAGAAATCGCCCCTGCTCCTCCAACCTGCTGGCCAGAGGGAGAAAGAAGGGAGTAGTCATACAACCGGCTTCTATCTCCCTTTCATCCCCCTTTCCGTCTACGAAACAAGGGTGCGGAGGGGTCGTCCTCACGCGGCCACCTGAAGAAAACTTGCAGTAAAACAAAGGTACTTGGATCGACCGAGTGTTCTAAGTACCGTTGCCGCGCTGGTGACACGAAGTTGCGAAGGCTTGGGATCTTGAATCACTGCGCCATCTTAGAGTAGGCGCACACCGTTGATTTTTAGTTGGCCGATAGTTGTGCCCGATATCAAATTGTATGAAGAATCGGCCAAATCGAATCGGCGTAGTGTGCGCACTCCCATACATGCCCATACTGATCAACTGCCTGACTAAACTATCGGCCGACGAAAAATCAACGGTGTGCGCCTACTTTCACTGCGGGTGCCCGTCGCACAGTCGCGACAGCAATGTAATTACGCGCGAGCGTCATTCAGCAGCCAGTCACTCAGCTTGGGGACATTGGACGAAATTCTACGTGCTCACAGATCGGGCTATAGAAACGACCAGACGCCTTCCGCGGACGTCCCTGTACGACGTAGCTATTAGGTAACTCAAAACGGCACGGTGCCGTGACGACCGGTAACGCCATCATGGTGTCCTTAGGGTCTCCGCTAAAACTCATCACTCACACGCGTGGCTGTACCCAAAAATAAGCATAATCAGGATTTTTGAGGACCATTGTTGAGTGCCTAGCCTAATGCATCCATCGTATCGCAGGGGTGTCAAAACTGGTGCTGGCGGGGCGCATCGGCGAGGCCATCGAGCTGACGCGGCGGCTGTACCCCGGCCTGCTGGAGCGCGACCAGGACCTGCTGTTCCTGCTCAAGTGCCGCCAGTTCGTCGAGATGGTCAACGGCTCGGACTCCGAGGTAATACTGCGATAAATAAATATTTTGTAGGGTAACTAGCGGCCGTCAGCGACTTCATACGCGTGGATCCCGTTTTACACCCTTAGGAGATGAATTTTGCAAAATCCCGTTTTACTGAGCATCTACGTTCTAAATGGAACCCCCACCGGAACTTAATTGTAGTTTTTGAGATTTCGTGATGAGTGAATGAGTCAGTCAGTCAGTGTATAGTCATATAATATAGATGACCAAGACATGCTATAACGTTGTTTTTCTTGAGCTCAATTAATTTAGGAGATAACAGCAGGAGCATAAAGGGCAGGAGATAACATACGGCACCGCGCTGCCCGACGAAGTATTGTGGAGTCAACGCTTCGTCGGGCAGTGCGGGGCCGTATGCCGCGGAGATCTGATCCACAGTACAGTGCCGCTTTGCACGGTTACACAGACCGGCACCTATTGTCGCCTCAAATGTAAAAATTCATAAAATTCATTTATTTTTGCAAATAGGCTTTAAATAAGCGCTTTTACACGTCCCAATATTAACCCTACCACTGCTTCGGGACAATAAATGGGCCAGTGCTGAGAAGAAGCAGCGCAAGAAACTCAAGTCACTATTGTCAGCCTCCTTTTCAAGGTTTTACAGTCTTTAAAATATACAAATTATAGTCATAAGTATTGATGCGAGCTAGGTAGTTGAACATTCCAAATATTTTTATCTTTTACTAGCGGCCGCCCGCGACTTCGTACGCGTGGACCCCGTTTTACCCTTAGAGGTGAAGTTTCGAGTTTTTTAGGGTTTACCCGGTAATTATTCAAACTTTTCTCGCTGTAAAAACCATCCTTGGACTTCAACAAACATTTAAAAAAAAGAATTAGTAAAATTGGTCCAGGCGTTGTTGAGTTATGCGCTTACCAACACATTTTGCGATTCATTTTTATATTATAGATATAATCATCAAGTTTATAAAGCCTGGTCCGTGAGCACGTAGAATCCCGTCCAATGACCCAAGCTGCCCATCCTTGTCGCTCGCAAGTAATTATGTTGCTGTCGCGCTCGCACACTCACTGCGGGCGCGCGTCGCACAGTCGCGACAGCAATATAATTACGCGCGAGCGATAAGGATAAGCTTGGGGTCATTGGACGGGATTCTACGTGCTCACGGACCAGGCTTTAGTAGGTGCTTTTGATATGTGCTTTAAATTTATAAATGGGCAATTCTACAACAGTTTGTGGTAACTAAACAGTGGTTTAGAGTCGTGTTTCGTTTGGCAGGTGAGCGGGCTGGCGCGCTGCGTGGCGGGCGCGGGCGCGGGCTGCGGCTGCGGCGCCACCGTCATCGCGCACACCGGCCGCCCGCCCGCCACCAACGGTAACTACTCGCTACTATTCTGATGCCGCCACATCGACTGCTTATGAGCGCTTTCACAGTAGGGCCATTTCACGCGAAGCGGACAGCGAAAATCAAGTCAGGTTTTGGATTTTGTTCATATTTGGATTAAATGTACTGCTATATGATCTGAATGGATGTGCATCATTATATTCTTCTAACAAAGTTCTAAAGAAAAGGCCCGTGACGTCAGTGAGTGCGTAAAAGTGCAGCACTTTGTGACGCCGCGCGGAACTCCAACGCACTATAACTTTGTAATTATTTGTTTGATTGACAATTAAAAATATACGTGTCCAATATTTTTTTATATTAAAATTGACGGACTAAAAAATTTTTTTAGGAAACTAGCCTATTGTGAAAGCGCTCTAAAGGTACGGCCAAACCAACGTGTACAGCCTGCGAGCGCTGGCCATGGCGATCAGTGGAAATCAGTAGAATCGCGATCGCCATCGCCATTTCGCACGCAGGCTGCACGCGTTAGTTTGGCCGAACTTTAATGTTATTATTACACAATTTGTTGTGCATCATCTAGTTCCCAAACTAGGCAAAATTTCTACTTTGGCTCTAAAGAATATATAAAGAAGGAAGCTACTGCTCGTTGGATCGACGTCGAATAACCTTGAATTACAAATTAAAACCTCTTTTGCTAGTCATTCCATAATGATCTCAATTGAAATTTATAATATTATGAAATAATTAGTACTGACCTTAAAAGACAGCTGCTAATGGCTGGACGAAAAATGCAGGAAATAATGCTTTGTCGCGTTTTTTGCGATTTTGGGAGAGGCTTGCTTCCAGCAGTGAACTGTAATGATGATGATACTTATTTTGAAGCGTAGTTAACATGCCAATAATGAATGGTTCCAGGTGTACAGGGTAGCACGTCAGAGGAGCACACAACAAATTGTGACGTAGACATGCCGCCTGCGCCGCACGCCACCAACGGCGCTCACGCAGGTAACGTACCGCGCCACACCTATGCACACAAACAAGTTCTAAACACACACAACGAAATAATCACACATACAGGGTTAGTTAACTTATTGGATTATAGAGCAAGATTGTTTAGCGCTAACCTTGGCTAAAAAGAACAATAATGCATACAATACTGTTATCATTGTTATCATCAATCAACAACAGCCGTTTACAGTCCACTGCTGGACTATGAGCCTCCTCCACTATAGTGGAGGGTTTTGCCATAATCTCCACGCTTGGCAGGCGGGTTGGAGATCGCAGTTTAAAAGATTGATGTTTTTCAGAGAAGGCTGCTGCCCGTTCTGTTTGATGTGTAGTCCCTAAGTCGCCTCTTACGACACCCGCGGGAAGAGTATGGGGTTGGTGACAAATGTATTCTACTCTGCCGTCACCATACTGTTATACTATGGGATAACCACTGATTACTTTGGGCAGCTGGAATCTCCAATCAATTTCACACACATAAAATTGAAAAGACAGTTGTGACACTATTTTAACTTACCCTGTATTTTTATTACATTTACCGCTTGCCAGTGTAACGGTTAGTGATTATTTTTTAAGTAAGGGGAGCCACTTTTTAGGATAATATAAAAGGAAATGTTGGGTTCGACTCCCGAAAAAAGAATAATTTGTAATATCAAATTACTATTATCGAATTTTGAATTGTTTACAGAATATTATTTTTCAATATTGAAATATTATATTCATAAATTGGCAATTAATATGAAATATTATATTTTTACAAGTTAAATTCTTTACACATTGATATTAATTGTATGTAATATTTAACGTTATTGTTTAATGTTTATGTATTATTTGCACACCATGCCATACATTATTTGGGATTCTATTTCTAATCAGCCTCAGTTCAACACATTTTATGATTTATAACCATTATATTTATTATTTGCTCGTTGCTTTTTAGTTTATGCATGATTCTAGTATCTTACTTCAAGGACGTAGATTTTGAAATATGTATTTACAAAAATCAGCAGTTCTATTTAGAAGGGGTGTACTAATTATTGTATAAATTATATCTATTGGCATATGTATGATATTGATTACGCTTTACGTATTGCAAAATCGAATGAGATCCTTATGCCATCCCTTCCCTGGTCTAACAAGTACGTAACTAGTAACAGATGCAAGTGTACGCCTAGTAAAGGCAGGGTTTGAACGTCCGTTGCGGGAATCCTGCCTTTAATGGAATCTAGTTATCGAGTGAACCCGGTTGGCTAACGGTAGTGCTGTCGTCACTAACATAGGGCGCATGCGTGGTAGTTCCTTCTCGCTTGTTATCCACCGCTCATGTCCGCACGCGATCACTCGACCGCACCGTAGATTAAATACAGGCCTATTACAGATATTGTGTCGTCATTTAAATCGTATCAAACTACATAATTATGTATATTCTGTTGTACAGTTTACTAAATATATGTTTTTCTTTTTAGTAAATAAAACAATACCTAAATGTCTGTATTAGGCCGCCGACAAGACTGCGATTGCGGTCGACTAGTGTACGTTAGCGCGCCCGCTTGCGCTTAAGGTACGGAGTTGTGTCCGTCACAGCGGTTACGTGGTCGTCACGCGATTTTACTTGGATTGTTCGTAAATTATTCATAAATTGTTACCCTGCTGCATGATTGCGGTCTACGTTTACCTTTGTTCATTTAGGGAATATTAATTATTCTACTTCGTGTGTTCGTCCTTGCACGCGTATAAATTATCGTAAAATATTACATAAACTCTTGTCTATTTCTAAACAGTATGAACTATTTTTCAGTTCGTATCAGTAAAAGTTTCAGAATAACCAATTTTTTTTATTTATAATGTACACAATATAATTAAAGTTCTTCTCTAAATAAGAAAGTGCTGTAATAAATGTGTCAAATATAATATCCAATCTTTAGAAACGCCACTAAGCCACTATTTTAGTTCGTTTTATTCTTAATGTAAA